AACAAATGATGATGAAATACGCTTCGCTTACAGGTGTACCGTATAACGTCGAAGTGAGTCAAATTTATAGAACAACAAAAAAAAATTTGAAGACGAATTTCTTCTTGGCTTGAGTTTTTTTTTATTCGAAGATCATATCATGATATTGACTATGAACGTATTTGAAGCATTGATTGCCTCGTTATTAGATAGCACATTGAATCGATAATTTCCTCTATACGACTTGAGGTTCATTTGAGTCTATGCGAGTTAACATACCAAACTTAATGTATCATATAGACGAGTTTGAGGTCCGTTTGAGGTTACGTCACATCACAACATTCTACTGTGTCATAGTTGGTAGAAAATAAACGGAATATCAAAAAGAAAAAGTTACTTTTAATCAAAGCTTTACTGAAGCTATTTTATTAAAATAAATATTGATTATTTTTTATGAATAAATATAATTTAGCGACGAGAGATTATTACCGCTTTCAACGGTCATAAATGTATTTTTGTTGATTCGTCAAAAATCAACGGTGACGACGGTGATGACCATCATGTATTTCTGTTGTGCGTTTCGGTGGCCAGTAAAGCAAGCTTGGAAGCTACCGTAACCATGGTCTGTGATCTTTTGACTCATAATTTCCTCCTCATCAATTTCACTCATCAAATCTACTATTATTCGTTTTTCTAATAAAATTCTTTTACTTATTTGTGCTTCTTTTAAAATACTTCGTCGTATAATTTACATAAAGCTTCAGAGTTCATATATTCTTTATGTACTTTACTTTGTATACATAAAAATAAACTGCGAAATGGTCACGTTTATTGTAAAGTTAACTTTTAGTCGATTACAGAAAAAAAAAACAATATTGATCTTTTGTTTACTAGGTTTGTTTACAAATCAATTTAATTTATCTATAGTTTGTGATTTTTTGAATTTTCATTGATTGATGGAGTCTCAGTCGTACTTCATAGCAGCAGCATTCAGCTTTTCTTGAAAAAAAAAAACTAAGAGTAAAAATGAAGCTTTCAGTTTTTGTGATTTATTTACTCACTCATTTTCTAAAGAGGAAAATGAGCCAGCATGAGTTAATTTTATATCGATTTTGTTTTATTTGTAAAAGAAATTATTCTAATACTTACAGTAATCTAATGTGATTGAAAACGTTTAATTAAAATTATTTATCATTTAGTTAACACTAACAAATATGAATTGACCTTTCGACAATAATCTAATTATAAGAAATTTTCTGGATAAAAATCTCAACCTCAATTAATTATCTAAAAATGACGTCATTTAATCATTCAAATTCTGACATAATTTCATGCAACAAAATTGTTACTGCAAGAAGCATTGCGTGAAATGAAAGCCATCATTGTACAAACCTAGAGGTTTTTTTCCTCTTTGATCCTCATTCGTTCCTCATTCACAGAATATTCTATTAACCAAGCAGCTGGAACTATGCACACTGACTACGTATCGATTTGAATTGTAACGGACCACTTAAAAATTCTCTAATTACATGATTTTTTCTATATAGAATATTTATATTTTTATAATATATAAATTTTTTTCACTAGTTCATCTGAATACGTATAAAGTTGGAGACGCCTTAGGCCCACCAAACGCATCATCCCTCCGGAGTCGGTAAATTGGTGTAGGAGAAATCTGAGTACGATAACTAGCATTGGTTTGGTAAATAGCGGTCATCACTCGCCCTCAAATCCCTCCACGATATCACGTTGAACATGAATGCGTAGGCGCATCCGACCACAATGCTTGAATTGATCAACGCCAATGCTTCTCTTTTCTTATCACTCAAGCTGGAGATGTGCCAAATATCTACAGCACAACACTTTCAGAGTATACGCTTCCAAAATAGTTTTCTAAATGAAATTTAAGAATATATACTAAATAGAGATCAAAAGTTCACTCAAAACTTCATTCGATTACATGACGTAAAATTGAGGTTGAATTTTTTCATTTTTAAGAGGAATTATATATATTTTAATTAAGGAACTCATTTATAAACCTCATAATTTGAAATAATTTTCAAAGCAAGTGATATTTTTCAGTGAATTCTTTGATTATTTTTTCGATTAGTTTATTTGTCGTTTAAATAGCCGTAGGCAATCGTTACGCAATATGTCAAAGCTGTAGAAGCACTAAGTCTTCAATTAGTCGAAGACGTCGGTCGTGCCAAAACTCATTTAGACAGCTGGTTTTTTTTTATTCTACGTTTTTTTTTTCGTTCGGCCTCAAACCTTTGTGCTTTTCTAAATTGACATTTGCTTTGCAGAAAAATGCACAGAACAAACAAAATCATTACCTCAAAATGAGGGATATTTTTTAAAAACTATATGATTATACTAAATGATAAAAAATACATTACGATAATCAGAACTGTTTTTTTCCTCGTCTTATTTTTCTCTTTCAGTAGTTTTTTTTTTCTGTTCTAGGTCATATATTTTTTTCTTTACATACAATAAAATATTTCATTTATAATCAATAGATGATTCGTTAGCAAGTTGATCTATAAAAAACGTAAATCTCTTACGTATTAAAAAATCAATAATTGATCGTTCTTTTATCAACATTTTATTAGTGAATATTTATGAATACGTAGAGCAAAAAAACCGCTGTATAGCTAATGAGGAGTTAAATTGTTCTATATTGTCGTACGTATTTCATAGATACTCGATACCGTAATCGAGCATATTCGTGGCGTACCGTTTGTTCTTGTCGGGACCCAAATCGATAAACGACTTTCAATGCATATTGAAAACTATGCGGATGGTGAAACGAAATACTTTCCGATGCCGTTAAATCAAGCTGAATCGTTTGCAAAACGTATTGGAGCTAGTAAATATCTTGAATGCTCAGAGATTACAGGTGTAAGTGATATGTTATTGATCGTATTTGCTTAAGGTCTTTAAAAAAACCAATTCATTTGAAGATTTTGAGCTTATACCTCATGAAATAAAATGGAATAGATATAGGTATGCGACACTAATATTTAGGTGTAGCATAAGAATTTTTAAAAAGAAATATGACCAGAGGCATTTTTCATATGGCTTTTCCCTCTTTCCCTACCGCAATAACGGTTTTTTCCATTAATGCATGAGGGTAATTTAGTTGATGAATAAGCTCGGATCGAGCACGCAACCAAGCCAACCACTTTTTTTCTTATAGGACTAAAAAACAACTCCCTAGTTCTGTTATTCAAACTAGTTAAGCATATGTAGTGCAGTACTGCATGCTTAAAGATCTACGAAATCGCTTGTTGTTCAGAATTGAAAAAATTTCAGGAAGGTCTCGATGAGGTATTTGAGGATGCATTCGAAATCGGTCATCATTATGCATTAGAGAAAATACGAGGATTACGACGAAAAATCTCTGAACATAAGGACATGGGAAAAAGGAAGCCTAGTTGCCTCACACAGTAGACGATATTGAGGACAGAAAAAACTTCTGACTCTTTTTTTCAGTCCAATTAACATTTGAATCTATGAGAATCATCAAAATTTCCTCTTAATATGATTAATGTTGACATCAATCATATCAGTAAAATATTCATTAGGTATTTATTTGTTTGTTTATCAAAAAACAATAAATTTTTTGTCCATAGTTGTGCTGAGATGGTCGCAAAACTCGGAACCTTTGGCGGGAATCGAACCCTCACATACAGATATCCGGTCTGCCGTGCTGACCCATTATACTACCGATGGCTCTTGTTCGGCGACCATTCAATGCTTCACTTATAGTAAGTCGGTACCACTACCATCACTTCCTCTCTAATGGGTACGGCTTTGCGAGCCGATATCGGCATTACATCCAGCCTAGCTGATAGCCGCGGGATAACCCAAAATTTTAGACATATTCGTAATTTTATTTATTTCGTAGAGCAAGGGCATTGGTAGTGTAATGGATTAGCACTGTAGATCGTATATCTGTAGATGCGGATTAGACAGATCAACCTTATATGGCATTTGCCATGCCGTATTGGTGCCCAGCATATTATCAAACACCGTTACGGCAAATTTCCATAGTGGGTGTGCGTGCTATAAGCTCCGCCGCCCGTAAATGAATAAGTGCGAAGCTGAAGGAACAAAGATAAACAATAAAGTATTGTATTATAAATATAAAGTGCAAGGCCTACGCTCAGGCATATTAGGGCTTAGACTTAGTCTATCAAACTAACACTGTATTGGTGAAGAATGGTCAATTCAAGTCACTGTATAGACATGGCCCGCATCCAACCCCTTCCACGATATCACGCTGAATTGGAATGCGTAGGTGTATCCCCCGCAAGGAATCGATCGGACGGTCAAACATCATCTTATCCCTCCTTATATTATTTATATATACTTATTTATCGCATCTAAGGTGTTAAGTTTATGTTTGAGAATAGTTGGATTATCTTTCATTGATGTTGATTTTGTCTTTACCATGACTAGGTATGACTGCAAAGTACTTACACTTCTCTAAGCATGTCCATAGTGCTTCTCTTAATCTCGAAAGAAAAATTGATAGTCGTAGTTATTTCGTGTTGTTTGATGATCCGATGAGGTATAATGTTTTAACACGTATCTTTAAGCCTCTAAAACTCATTCGTGCTTTTAAAATTGCTCTTACATCGCTCTATATGCTTCTTCAATGCTGTCGTATAGCCTCCGTAATCCGATCTCCAAAAGTTTAGTGGGAATCGTTCAACTTGTTGTTTTCCTCTTTTAATTAGAGTAGTATTAGCTACTCCGTAGAGCCGTTTATGGTTGCATATTTTGGTTTTAATATCTGTAATTATGCTGTGAGGCTGCAAAACTCGGAGCCTTAGACTCGGATCCACACCTACAGATATACGATCTACCGTACTAATCCATTACACTACCAAGGCCCTTGCTCTTCGAAATAGAATAAAATCACTAATATTATGATTTCATTTATTGATTAAGCGATAACGTTTTAACTCGAAGTTTTCAATACTTCAAACACAGAGCTAAAGGGCGGAACAACAGATCTCGTAGTGTAGTGGTTATCACATCTGCCTTACACACAGAAGGTCGGCGGTTCGAGTCAGCCCGCCATCAGTTTCTTAATGTAAAACAAAATGGTTAAGATGTCATATAAATAATCAGTAATGATGTACAATTATTATAATTTCATTTATTGATTAAGCGATACTGTTTTAACTAGAATAACTGTCTGTGAATAATGATATCGTAATAAAATCAATACGTATGTTTTCTAATATGACGTTTTCATCACGAGGATCTCTGAGAAGTTTTCTGTGATAAGACTTTCCTTTATTTCCTCGTTATTTTTATTCACTTTCAATGAAATTTTTCGTTGCACTTCACTCCATTAGAACTATGAAGTCATCATTTTTTTTTCTCTCCAGGACGTCTTGACGAATACGTCAACGATTTCGGAAGTGGACATTTTTCAACTGCATCTGTTCGGTTGAATAATCATCATTATTTTTTTGATGTGATTTTCCTCAATGACGTCATCTTGCTTGTTATATTTCATAGGCACCTACGACAACTTATGAGAAATAATCGCTGTCAAATCAATATTCCCTACCATTGTTGACAAATCTGTTATCAGTTCAATGATTCATGGAACAGAGAAAATTCTACGGCAGTTCATGGAGAGGAATGAAATTAATGTCCTCATATATGAGGAGTTAATCACCCTCTAATTAATGCGTTATACATAATAACTAGGCATATCGTACACTATTCTTATAAAATAGATAAATTTTGTATTAAAACTCGATCAGAATTGAAAGCCAGTAATGGTCTCTGGATAACAGTAACATATGTTGAAGTTTAACGAATGCAATCGTCATCATTGACATCTAAGCTTAAACCTCATTATATAATAGTCATTTTTCCATTAGCAGCTTTACGAAGCCGTAAGTTTTGTTGCGCAAAGCTTAGAGGATTCAATTAGGGTTATGAATTTTTCATCGGAGTTCATACAATGAGGGTATTTCGCTCCGAACGAATTTGACAGAATTTGAAGATATTGCAAAAGTTTTCCTCAATAATAAACAATTAATAAGATTTTTTTGACAGTAGAAATAATTATCACCTTCAAAATTGATTAATTTTTAATGGTGTATTGCAATGACTATAAATGGAACTGGAGTAAGAACATCAGAATGGAAATCGGCAAAGGTGAGGCTTACAATGTGCCTGAGGTTCAAATTTTTGTCCTTTGTAACTTAGCAATCATTGGAGACATTAGAAGAATATCATCGTAGAATATCATAGAATATTCCAGATGATCTACCTACTCAACGTAACTGGTATGTGTTTGTAGTATTTCCTTTTCAAACATTCAAACCTAAACAAAGATTAACCTATTAACAATCGACAACGTCTTGAAGAAATGAAGTCGGATGAGTGTACATTCCTCCGATGTATAAAAGCCGACGAGTGCCTGTGGTCAAAAGAGAGCGCCCGATCAGGGCTATCTCAGAAATCTGGGTAGTTAAAGCTACAGCAACCAAGCATTGTCACGACAGCGTCACCACGTAGGCAGAAAACCACCATCATGAAGCAGCGTTGAGCGAGAATGAGAAGAATGGAAGGCTAGTGGAGATCGCATCACGTATGACGACGGCACATCCTATTCACATTCTATTTATCAATAAGCCATTATCATTGTTATTGATTTTTTGAATAATGAGGTATATCATGTTGAAGTCTTTATGGATGATTTTATTAAATGAGAATTATTTGCACTGAAGGAGGGTTTCTTTTTTTCCTCATAATAACATTCTTTTCATAAAGTACAACTAAAGATGTATGAAAGCTGAGAAGGTTAACTTAACAATTTATGTACTTTTTTTAATGAATTCATTACTTGTTTTTTTTTTTTGGTGCAAAAAAAAAGTCGAGTGGTTAATTTTTATTTGAGGCAACCTTGAGTGAAGGGCTAATGGAAAAAATTTACCAAAAAACAAAAAAAAGGTCGTGAAACTACAAGCGTTAACAAATTTGTTTGATTTAATCAGTACTACAGTATGCTCAATGAGGAGAGAAGTACGTTGTAGGACAATATGTCATTAATAATCTTATCATTTTTATCACCACTATAAGTATTATTATCATTCAACTGGAAGATTTTATGCGTTAGCCAATTTGAAACACAATCATTAAAGTCCATAACTGATATGAAATCTCTCGAAGATACCTCAACAATCGAATGAACACTACCTCAACGTTCTAGATTTAGATTGACAATAACAGCCTAATTGAGGTAATTCTATATCAGTACGCGCAGATTAGCTACTGCCTTCATGCATACTGTGCCCGTCATCCCTCCGGCTTAAGCCGTCAAAGCTCGAAAATATGACCAACACTGACTTAGAGCCTATAGAGACTGGTCAACTGTTAAGCTTATGATATTTTATCGTTATGGATTTGATGTTTTGCAGCTTGGTAGTACACCTACAGTTCTACTTCACACTTAGATTTACCGAAATTTCTTCTTTACTCTATTAATGTTTGTGAATTAGACTCAGCGTGTTCTGGAAAGACAAGGAACACTATTATGCTAATTTTACGCCAAAAAATGTTCCTCTTTTCAGAGATGAGGAACATCACATTGACTGAAACTAGCTAAATCTGAAATATTTTGATTGCGTTCTCGGATGACGTCATATCTTTAGCAATAATTTTGTATTGTAAGAAAATTTATTAATGCGATAATGGTTCGAAGATCAGTACAGATGAATACCAGTAATGAGCAAGTACATCGATGTGATCAAGTAGGAAACAAATAAATCGAAGTACAATAGAAAAAGCATTCAGAAAAATTCAAATCAACTGCAGTGAAAATTTTTTTCTCACTGTCCTTGCAAGAACAACATGTATTGATCGATAAAAACGTTCAAGCTTTAAAATGTTGCCGTATGTAGCAATTCTGGCTACTTCCCATCCATTCACCATAAATAAACCACACCATCAATCAATACAATGATAATCACACGTATCATTCATAACACACTGATTGGATAGAGATATAAAAGGGCTCTAGCATTCCTCACTTACTTATTCTTCTGCTTATTCTTCTACTACAGCTTCTTCTTCGACTTCTCCTAATTATTGTTGGAGTTATTGTGCGACACTCTATTATTGGACTCATCACACTACTGCTCTTCCTCCGACTACACCTCTCTTCATTCTCTATCAGGAAAGGACTCTTCCTCTTACATACGGTTTTCTATTCGTATCGCCATCGATACGGTATTTTCTATACTGTCTCTATTTTATAATAGGAGTTCATTATCCAAGCCAAACCCGAGCCAGCATGACGTTACCGTATTTTTCAGTGATACGATGATAAGAAGTTTACTAGGAGCAATGATAGAGCACAAATTAAATAGTGGAATGCTGTTCTACTTAGCGGTTGTTCATCTCCTATTTCTTATGGATCGCGTATTCGCAATGAGCTGTTTTTTATGTAAGTGAAATTTTTGTTATAATTTTTCCTCCCTTTACGATGTATGCAATTTGTGTCGTACTCCTTCTATACCATATGCCTGTTCTCCATATACCTCATTCATTTAAGACGATCATTCAATACAACAGTGATAGCAGTTTTAACGGCTTTCAATCACTTTCGAAGAATCCATAAATATTTTCGTCCTCATTGTTTGACTCTTCAGTTTCATAATATTCTAATCGCACAATCATACACAATTAGAAATTAACCACATAAAAACAGCGGGTGATATTACTCATATAGAAAGCAATTGAGGAAGGAGTCCCGTATGTATAAAAGTGCATTTACATTTGTTCTATTATCGAGTTTAGTTTAATGAAAGAAGTTAAAAGAGCCACTTACCCCAATGCTGAGTCAGCAACAAGACTTGGATCCATAGGCAGAACTCGAGACCGTGTCTAGATATGCCCGATCCAATGTGCTACCGACATCGGCAATATCGTCTCACTTGTGAAACAAGTTGACGAAGTTGACGAAAGGATGCAGATAATATATCTATTAAGATTTATTAGGCTTAAGTAAACCATCGACTAGTAAGTTAAGGAGGGTTTGC